CCAAGGATACATCTGTTACAATCTATAGAATATTGAATTACCGAGCTTAATGGATTTTGTGGTTCTCCATTATAAAAAGGTGCATTAGTAATTGAACTTGGACCCACTCCTAACGAATATATTTTATCATCAGCAGTTGCATATGGTTGTTGTGTTCGAGGTGTTTGATATTGTTGTTGTTGTTGTGGGTTTCTTAGATCACCTAGATTAGCTATCACATTACCATCTTTATCACGCATCGGTGCACCACCACCACTTCGACCAAAATAATTATAACGATTTATTTCTACTTCTAATTTTCTTTCATATTCATCTTTTTCTTGTTTAGCTTGTGCTTTTCTCATTTGTTTTTCACGCATTTGTGCTTGAAGTTCTTGTTGATAACGTTTTTTTGCTGCTTGTTCAGCTTCTTTATCAATCTCATGACCGATTTGAAAACCATTGTCATTATTTCGTTTTGATCGGTTATCATTACGATATTGTTGTCGATAACGATCATCATTATTTTGTTGATTTGCTGAGTCAAATGACATATTCAAAGGCGGTACACCACCTGTAATAATTTGTGTTGGAGTTGTAGAAACAGGTGGACGATTAAGTATTCGAGCAAGTTCAAGATCAATTGCATTACGTTGATTTAATCGTTCTGCAAGTAATGTATTCAATGCACTTAAATCTTCAGCATAGTGTGCACGAGTAACACTTGATGAATTACTAGCAGAAAAATTACTACTTTCTATAAGGAAAATTGTAGTTCATAGATTATTGAAAAAAAAGAATATAAGACGCACCCAATTCTAGTTGTCTTTTCCTTGCTTCTAATTCACGTATTTGTTCATATAATTCTAAAATATATTCTTCACGATCACGAATATATTGTTCATCATGATCTTGTGATAGACGTGATCGTGATCGATTTGTTGTATATTCTCTTGCCGTTGTTGATGATGATGATAAAAACATATCATTTGTATTTGGAAAATTTTTCGCTGTTTTCGTATCAGTTTTTTCCCATGGTGCAACAACCATCCCATCTTGTTGAAATTGTACACGTCGAGTTGTATTTCCACGTGAAGAAGCCGCTTGTGATGTTGATTTATTTTTGGAGACACTTCGTTGAGATCGTAAATATTCATTATATTCACGTTTTAAATCATCTTTCAGGTGCGCACGTCGTTCATCATAATTTCCAAATCGATCAAAAAAAGCGAATTCATTATTATTGCCACTCTCATTTGACAAATGATGTCGTTCTTGTTCGAAATCTAAAGGAACTCTTTGTTGTTCAGAAAAAGGACTACTAATAATTGGACGTGGTGAAGGAGGATAATAAGGTTGTTGAGATTGAACACGAGGTGATGGTTCGTCTAAAATTCGATTAACTTTAACGTCTAATCGATCTTCGAAATTTGTGGATGGAAATGATTGAGGGGGTGGAGGTGGTGGCGCTGCTGGACGTTGTCGGTTTAGTTGTTGTCGATTTCCCTGTTGTCGATTAGGTACTTTATTAAGTTTGGATCTCTGACGTTCTACGAAATAGTCAATGTCTTGAGAAGCAGTAATCATGATTTCGTTGTTTTTTTATATGTACATAAAGAATGATGGATTTCTTATGCCGACAAGCAATTAAGAATGGCAAGAATTTTTTCGGTTCTGTCTTACTTGTTTTTGTCTGCAAAAAAATATTTCAAGAACATCTTGTTTCGCCATAATCGACTGTACAATCTTGGATACCGGGAGGAGGACAAGAAGAATGGCACCCAATGAAGTGCAAGGAAATGATTGCACTCTACAGGAAAGCAAGAAGGGAACATTATAGCGATGATTACGATCACTATTTGAAATTTCGATCCAAACAATCGTAAACTAACTGTAGAAATATGTCTTATGAGTTCTTTTTATGGATGATAAAGTATTATTCAACGTACAGTACAGTAGCCGTCAAAAATCTCGCTAACAGGTAGAATATACCTAAACTTTAATCATTTTGTCTCATATTTTGACTAAAACTAGAATTCAATCAACTCGGATCACAAGAATTAGTCATGACTTGTTCGATTTTCATACGAAGAAGCTAGACAATCAACACAGATTTTTTTCTTCAGACGAAGATATCTCAACCAAGAAATTAAATCTTATGGCTTCAGATTTCTAATTGCACAGATCACTGATGTCTCTATCACCAATAGAAATTCAATGTCAAACAGCTTTAGTTTGCTTGATTTATGAAGATATTATTTGCGTCATGTTCACATGAGAGGTGATGAGAATCATTGAAAGGTAAATCATATCTTCGGCTAATTTTAACCGTTTCTTATAAAATTTTCTCCAGTGAATGTTATTTTCTACTTAATTTTTCCTTGAAAATTTCACGATCACAGTCATCAATGGAGTAGAAACTCATGTTGAGGCCGTCTCAGGCAAGAGAGGCTTTCTCTACTCCTTAAGATGACTGTGAATTGCTGTACCCTATCTCTGACATGATATAGACATAAGCATCTTTATGTTTTTTATAAGAGAATGGAGGTTAACATATTTAAATAGTAGAAAACCAGAAAAGTGTCAAAAAGCCTTTTTTCGGACCATTGGGAAAAATTCGGTGTGTTTCCTCAGAAATGCTTTGTTTTAAAGTCGGTCGACCTCGAACTGCTGCTTGTAATCAAGGTGTATCGCGCTTCACTCATAATCAAAATATCAAGCAAACGAATTGAAATTTATGTACGTTTAATTCGATAACAGGACTTTTGGTGACTACTTTATATGACGTAAAATTTTGAAAGTATGTGAGTTCTTTTTTAGTTTAAATTGATTCATACGGACTGTACAATCATCATTAAATTAAATGGTCGAAAATAATGGAATAGAGCTTGACGTATTTTAATTATGGATGGTCTTATCATCAATTATTCAATAATGTAGCATCTCCACTTTTTTTTACTTTGGGTACAATGTATTCTATTGTTTTTATTTATTTTGATGAAAAACTTCTCTATTGACTTGGTTTTATCAATTTATTTTAGTATTTTTCAGATTGAATCATCGAACTCTACAAGATTCTGGAATTGTATAGTTGAATAGAACGATGCATAATCTTATGAAGTCCTAGAGAATTTCGAAACTCTATATCATACTATAAATGTGATAAGCTCTCAAGTCTAATAGTCTGTGATTTTAAAGCTTCAGCAGTATCCGAAGCTCTATTGCATAATAACGGTTGTGGAATACTGGTTATTGTCATAGGACTCTAAAAAGGGTCGAGTGTAAAAATTTCACATATTTTCATATACTAGTACATCAAAACATCCTTAGTTTTCCTTTGATATGTACATATATAACAGTACCAAAGGATGACGTTGTAATATTAGAGACATAAAGGAAGAAAAGAATACTTTCATAGTTTAGTGACGACGAAACATAGTACAAGTTATGATCAGTGCGACAACGCAAAACGTTCATATATATATATGTTACTCGTCAGCAAAGGGTTAAATCTTTTGTTACTTCTTTACAGATGTGTTATTATTGTCACATTTTACAAAATAATTCTGGAGCTCCTATGCATCCAGATACTCGGTGTCTTGATTAGGGATCTGCAAGATGGTTCCGATCCCGCCGAGACTGGGACTAAAATTTTGCTTTTTGCCGGGACCGGGACGAATATCTTCAAGCTAGTCCCAGTAGTTTTTTTTACAAAGAACTAGACTAGACTAGATATTTTGATATTTTTTTTATTTTTTATGATCAGCTATCTAAAAACCAGAATTCTTTAACAGTCTCGACAAAATTTCTCCAGTGATCTTAGTTTTGACTTCAAAAATCCAAATTTTGCAATAACTTGTCTGATTTTTTGACTAAGTGACTCGTAATATACAGTCAATACATAGCTTTTATCTAAGACCGAGACCAGGACTGAAAAATAGTGGTTTTTCAGATCCCTAGCTCTGAAACATCTTATTTTTGTTGGAAACGTTTTCTTCATCAGATGAATTTGTTTGTAAAATCGTTTTGAAAGTCAAAGTTTTTCGAAGACCTTTCATCCAAAGCAATTAATGGTATTTCAACAAGTATCTCTCTTTACAAGTGCTCACTTCAGCTAATCAAATATTCTGTGTGATTAACTCTAGCTGTTGCCATTCAGGTTTATTCCGACAAAAATTGACTTTTGATACAGTGCATGGGATTTCTATGAAATTTTTTGAAGATGTTTGACTAATGAAGATTCACTATTGCACAAACTTTCATGATTCCAAAGCATACTATCCAGAAATCCTTCAGCAGCAATAATATAAAAGAAGCTTTTCACAGGTACAAAAGTTTTTTTCATACACTTCGAGCTACAGCGTTCTGACAACTCTAAATCAAAATTTTATTACTTCAAAAATCTTAGGCAATGTTTTTTTCAAAAAACTCAGGATTACTTTGATATTGAGCTTCCAATAAAAAACCTCTTTCCCTGTTTCGAAAGAGAATGTATGAGTTTATCGCGTTAACCACAACGAACACTATCGAAAAGAAACTTGTTCGGAATTCGAAAATTTATGCAAAAAAAACAATGCTAAGAAAAGTGCCCAAACATTTCTTTAATAGTTACCAAAAGAGCTCGCTGACGTGACTGTCAAATATAACTCTTCAAAATCGGAAGTCATTCTCATGACCTTTCAAACAATACACCTTAGGAGTCGTATCTATATGTTTATTAGAAAGTGCCTTTCTTTTTCTAGAAAAATTGGTTTTCTGGAGGAGAGATCAAGGAAAAAGTCAAAGATGTTGCATTACTAAACTTTTTACTTTCATCTTATATGAATTCTAAGCAACGCAATTGATTTTTTTAGCACACATTTATCTCACGTAGAATTGAAATAGAACTTATTGTTCATCGTGTTTATAAAAGAATAATGATAACAAAAAAAACAGCTTCTATATACAATATATCGAATTTGTACATGAAGATACAAAGATGCAATCATTAATAACAGAAACTCGAAACTGTTCTTGTTTTTTTATTTTCGTACTACTGTTAATCGAAGAACATTTGATGGTACAGTTGGACAAACCAAAGCAGAATGTGTTTGATTTATTGCTGTATTCAATGTTTGAGATGATGCTGTGACTAAACTTGTTAAATCTGCTGTATCATTATTATACATTGATGAATTATCAATTAATCCAGTTGTTGTTTGAGAAATTGGTAATGTAGTAGCAGCTGTTGTAATAAAAAAATTTTGTGATTGTTGAGAAGATGGCACAGTTGCAAGACGAAATGCTGTTTGTGGATTAGTTGTTGGAGTAATTCGATGTATCTAAATCGAAAATCTTAAAAACTCTTGTTGGATAAGATGACCATCTTCCATTGGAATAGTCATGTATATCATTTTGTAGAATAACTCGTACCACATTGAATTGTATATAGAAAATCACTTTTTCATCAAGTTTTCATACTCTCAGAAGCCATATACAAATTAAAGAATATTAATTTCAATTGAAGGTGATATAATCGAATACTAGGACTCAGTGTATTTCCAAACCAATCTGTATCAAATTTTATTTAATGTTACTTCAATAGAATTTTGTCTCATTTTCAGTTGTGTCTATCTACTAATACTTATAATAGCTTTCTGTGTACCCAAAACCTTAGCATTTTTACTAGCTTTTGTAGTTTCTGGCTAGTAAGATGTTCTAAGTTCTTTGCTACTACTTCTGAGAGCAACATCGACCATCTGTGCAACTTTCTCTCAACAAGCTCTATAGATACACTAAGTGATTGTCTTCTGAATTGTTGTGTATCATGGTCAAATCGATCAGTTCACCCCTAAAAAAGGACCAATTTATCAATCTCTAAGAACAAAAAAGTGTATGAGTTGTATAGTATTTACTTTTTGATTGAAAAAGTTTATATCTATTAATAATAAGTTTATCATGCCCTATCATCTGAAATGTACGAATCTTTCGAAAATGGCAATAAGGTTTTCATTTTCAGATTCCTATTCTAATAATATCTGACTAGTCAAAATCTAATTTTCTGAAGAAAAAAAAATGAAATAAATACTAATATTTGTAATAGTCCAAAACTTATTATTAATACATAAAAACTTTTCACTCAATAAGTGTTCATCACCAAACGCATATACTTTTCTGACCTTACGAATTGAAAAATTTGGCCTCTTTTAAGCATTGATTGGTCGGTTGAATCATGACGCTCAGTAGCTTACAAGACAATCGATTGGTATACTTATAGATCTATAAACGAAATAATGTCTGAGAAACTTGAATGGCTGGTCAACTTTGTCTTCACGAATAATATCGAACAATTTAAAACATCATAAAAACCGAAAATTATAGCAGTTAGTAAAAATGCTAAGATTTTCGATATGAAGAAAGCTGTTGTAAGTCTTATTAGATGGACACAATTGAGCAAGAAACAAAACTCTATTGAAGTAATTTTACACAAAATTTGATCAAAGTTGATTTCGCGACGTACCATCCAGTCCTAATATTCAATCACATCACTTACAAGTGGTGTAATATTCCTTAACTAGTATATGACGTCAAAGACCATTAAAACTTAATAAAAAAAATGAATATCCTATATACTATTCCAATGAAAGGCAACCATTTTATCCAACAGATCCATTATGTGTTATTTTTATTTTAACTTACAGTCATTGTTCTTGGCTGTTGAGCCGTAACAACCAATGTTCGTTTTAAATCTGTTGTATTTGTCGTTGTAATAATATATGGCTCTTGTTGTTGTTGTTGTTGTTGCTGTGTACCATCAAATGTTATTGTTTTAAGACGTTTCACTGGTGATAATGTTAAAATTTGTTGTTCAGTAGAACGTTTACCTTGTGAATGTAGGTGATGTAGAGATGACGTAAAAACATTATTACGGATATGTTCAACAATTTGATCTGGTGATAAAACTGTTGTTGCTTGATGAGAAGCGATTGATTTCATAGCTTTCATTGCCCATTTATCACATTTAGGTTGTTTTAATGTATAAATACTATCATGATGAGTATAAGTTTTTCGCAATTGTTGAACAAAATACATTTGTAACCAATAAAAAACCATTGCACCACTATCAATACGAGATTCACGCCAATCTCGTAATTGTGCACACTAAATTTTAAGAATAATTGTAGATAGATAAACGACAAAAAAAAACATCATAAAACATACCACAATTTGCATTGATTCACAAACTAAACCTTTTATACCTGTATATGGATCGAAAAGATTAAATTTTTTTAATACCCATGATCCAAGATCAGTATCAACTAATGGTAAAATAATTTGTTCAAAATACGTTCGAAATTCTTGTGTCCAATTTGATTTACAACGATCATATAAACGCATAAATAATTTCATATCAGCACATAATAATAAGGATTTTATTTCAGCAAGATAAAATTGATAATCAGCATGTGTACGACCATTTTGTAATAACCATGCATGTAATTGAGAAAAAATATAATTCCATGTATGAATAATACGTAGATTTGGTAAAAATATTGATAAATAATTATTTTTTAATGTATTACCATCATTATCAATTACATATATACAACGAGATTCAATATTCTGACATTGTTGTTTTAAATGTGTTAAGATATATTCATATACATCATCACAACGACGATTATGTAATGCACAACCTGAAGTACCGAAAAATTTTTTCTTGACTATATGAATCGTTTAAGATTCTGCAGACTTTAGCAGTATGAAAACTTTCAGGAAAGTAACGAGAGAATCTCGGCAAATGATAAATTGCTTTTGAAATAAGTCTTATGTGATTAGCTCGGAGCTATTGACACTAGAAGAAAGTCTAAATCAGTACTCATTGTGATAAGATTTTCAAAAGAATATCATGATCTCATTCAGGAGTGCAATGGTCTTACAGATAGCTTTGCACTAGTCTACATAGATACATATAGATCAATAGAGAATATAGTAAATGCATGACAAATTTATGGTGGTTTTGGTTTGATTTCATTTTTTTTCGGTTAAGTAAGTCATTGTAAGAAAATAGTCGAATTTTATTAAAAAAATAGAGTTTTTTGAGATCCAGGTATTCATATTTATATAAGGTTTGTTAAAATTCTCGAGTTCAATTTTCTCGTTTGAGAAAGGCTTAGTTCTCACGGTTTAATCATATTTGATAAAATTCAGTTATTTTCTTGGAATCGACCTTTCTTCACTGAAAATGTCAAAATAAATCTAAGACTAATGTAGTTTTCTTATGCATTCACAGTCTTCATCGTTATTTCTGTGATCTCATTCAAATTCACATATTGCACAAATAAAATCCTAAACGAAACTACAGTTCAAAAAATTCACTGATGAACTAAACTGACTGTATCTAAACTTATCAAAGAAGTTTCCTCATTTTAATAATTAATTGAAAATTTTCTTAAATGAAAAAGCAAATTTTGTTTGAATATTCACATTTTGTTTTTCATCACTTGAAGGGGGAACCCCCCCTCCGAAACCTATCTTCTAAACGATACAACAGATTTCGATGAAAATTTCAGGAAATAGAAAAGCTAATGTAACTAGCATCTGATAAAAATTTCAACCAATCATTTTTGATAATTAAGAAGCTATACTCAATTTACTCATGAAAACGGGGGTTTTGGCACGGAACATTTTTCCGATGCGCGGTAGCATGAAAAATGTTGAACTTTGTTTCAAAATGAAGAAAAATCTTTTATCTAGAAATTGTAGGAACAGTTTTTTGAAATTCGTTTTCATTCAATTGTAGTAATCATTTTAAATCGAAAATCGCAAAAACTGCTTTGAGCACTTTCAAAGATTTTCAAATATCTAAACAATGGAGATATATTTTGAAAATCTGTTCCGACAATTTCTAGAAAAAAGTCTCATCTTTTAAATAAATAAAAATCAGCAGAGTACATCAAGCGGTGAACTGGGAAAATGTTCCGCAATGGTCAGAAAACGATAAAAAAGTGAAGCTGAGAAAAACGAATAACAACATTGCGACGTAGTTGATGATCTTCTTGTAGAGAGAATTCGAGCATATTATATATCACTGAAAAGCGCATAAAAAGTTCTTACAGTTGGTAGTATTTTCAAGAAAAAAATAAGCCGATTTCTTAAGCTAATTTCTGAATCCAAGTTCACTGTAGCGCCATCTTTTCGAAAAATAGCCTAATTTTGAACCTTTCTTATAAGACTGCAACATCCAAAACATGATTACTCGATACGGTAATGGTTTTAGAGTGCTAATAAAGAAGGTAGAACGATATTAGTTACCGATAATTAAGAAAGAAAATCAACAAGACAGCCGATTTTCCATTATAGCGTCCAGTAAACTTGCCAAAATTGGGCAAAATATGTTCCATTCCTATATAGTTTATACATATTCTGAAAGAGGACACTTGGGGCTACAAGAAGATGTGTTTTTCCAAAAATCGACTTTTTCAAGGAAAAATCGACTTTCGAAGGGGGGGGTTCCCCCTGAAGGAATTCTCTCGTAAGATTTAAGTGATAAAAAGTGTACTTCATACATTTAGATGGATGAATACTTTATCATATGCCTGTCTACTTTGTATTTTGGTACGCTGCGATACATCTTTATATTTGACAAGTACACATCGAACTACTTTTTTTTCTCTTGTTCAAAAAGCTTTCAAAGTATTCTTTTCATCAGAATCTAAAACTTATGTTGTCATTATGCTGTAAATGTTTAAATGTATTATTCATTTGAATTCACTTTAAAGTTTTTCCATTATCTCTATTATCTTATCATATATTAATAAATGGAAATCATTTGGTTCTTATTAGAAACACTATTGAGCATTTTAGAATAGCTTATTTTAAATTCTGCTTTCTAAAACTTTAAGTATTAAAACATGTACATGAGAAATCATACAATTAATATTATGTTTTGGTTTCACAACTCGATTCTCTATAGACTAATATTCATATCAGTCTTACAAATAATAATGCTTAAGCTTATATAAAATTATATAGAATAAATGCTATCGCAAGGTTGATTCAAGTAAAAACCCAAATATATTTATTGCTACTGATCCATAACAATAAAGAGTTCTTCTATGAAGATATTGTCTATTCAGAAATTCCTATTATCTATTTGAGTGTTCAATAAGAAAAATATTAAAGATTCATATTGTTACCTCTCTATCCTATTGGTTTTTGTTCTCATGATTAAATAGATATACATCTTACCGAGTAAAATACATGGTTCCTCTTTCATAGCAATATGTCGATAAAAAATACATGTAACATGATATGTATTAATAGTATATGATGAATCAAATGTAATAAGAACATGTTGTTGTGATAGAAGATCAGAATGATCTAATAATAAATTAAATTCATGCATTGATTGATTTGAAAATGCAACAGCAACAACATTTGGTATTAATGTAAATCGAACAATATAATTTGGTGTTTCACATGCAAAATGATATAAATCAGATATTTCATCAGCTGATGCAACAAGACGACGTGCTAAACGTCTTTTTATATTACGTATTTGTTCAATATTACGAGGTCGAGATAAAATTTCGGGACCAATTTCTGTTTCATTTTGTATATTGGATGATTTTATAGTTTTTAATAATTTCTTTTTTTCATCATCATCATCATCATCATCAAATGTTTCATGTATTTCAGTAGAATGATTTTCTGTATCATCATTATTATCTTGTTCATAAGAATTTTTTCTTGTATATTGCGTAAATATTTTTGTGGTTTCAGTATTTGTTGCTGCTTCAGATATAAGTTTATTAAGAAGTGATGGACGTGTACGAAAAAATGGTTTAGTATTTTTTTTAGAATTACCATGTGGAAATTCTTCAGCAATATTTTCATCACCAAGATATTGTACAACAACTTTTGATGGATCAACAAGTGAAACAAATGCTTGTTTTTCAAAATCTTTATTTTTTTTCTTATTTTTTTGTCCAGAATGAAAATAACATTTTTTTATTACTGGATTATGTGTTGGTAAACGACGTGCAGCTATTTGTACCCAACGATAACCATCACTACGCCAATCGTCTAAAAATGATATTTAACATATATTATAAATTATTTATTCATCAAGAAGATTGAACGAATCAACTTGTTCTGTTTAAATAAGATTGAAAATTAAACTTAAACAATTGATCATAGTTCGATGAAGTTGTAACTGCAACATGATTTCTCTATTACAACAGATTAATCATTTTACTACACGATATTTCTTAATTCTATACCATTTGCCAGCTGTTCAATGGTAATTTAGCCGCTTTCTCTTTCAGGTATCAATTTTTTTAGAAAATAAAATTGACATTCTTTATTAAATGTTCTTTTTTATATAAATATGAACAGTATTTTTTGACGTTAATCAATATCCAATCAACATTGAATGAAGATTTTCTTATTCGTTAAAACTCTGATCCGTTATATACCTATCCTTTCCTTCTATGGAAGTTACGATGATTCCAGACTTTATTACAGCGGATGAACAACGGTATTCGCTGGAATTAAAACTTACTTTCATGTCCAATATCAAGTTTTAGTACATAAACTTCTCCAGCTTTAGGTTTAAATGGTGGTGTTGATGTATATTTTGTTGATATTGAATCAAATAATGGAATAACTTGTGTTGCTTCAAGTGATTGATATCGAGTAAATGATGGGTTATTTGTTGTCATTGTAAATTTTATTTTAAGAAAATATTTTATTTTAAATAAACTAGAGCTATATAGATTTTTGATGTTCGTTACACTTGATCATGAGTATAAAATAGCGCTTCAATGCAAAGGCTTTCATGATTTTTGAATGGAGTACATAGAAAAAAGAACGAAAAAAAAAAACCACTTCAAAACATGACTACCTATCGAAAATTTGCCTAATTTTCTAGTTTTTAATTTAATTTACAATGTTCATAGTATATCGCTACAGTAAACGACAATAAATTCAAGAGATGTATAACAATATTGATTGTAGCTACCCTGTTGACAGGTCTGAATTTATAATAATCAATAGATGTCACTCATATTTTTAGCAGTTTCGTATAGAAATACGCAATAAAACTTATTTCGTTTCCAAATTATTACAATAAAAACAACTTATTACAGATTATTGTATAGGATTCTAATTGCTGACATATGCCTATTGGTCACACCTCCATTATCACTTGTTTACTCTCGAATATATATAGATCATCATTTTTAATTTTTTTTCTTATTGAACTCCTTATTCGATACAACACAGAGAATAATTTTTAATTACTATTCTAGCTACAGTAAGTAAACATTTCTGAAAGAAAAAAAAAAAGAAGGAAATCTGATATAATTTATTAATGAAGGAAACTTATTTAAATCTTCTAATTTCTATTTACATTCAATTCATTCATTTTTCTTCTAATGAATCAGTCGCACGTCAATTGAATTTATAATAATCTTATATGTAAATTACTCTTTGTTTCGTAAGAGAATAGAAACATTTAATATTCATCATCAATTGAGATAGAATAGACCTAATTTTTTGTTAATTTTAGCGTAGGATTGAAATTAAAGCCAAACAAAAAAAAAAGAACATTTTCTATTGTGCAAATTTTTTAATTGCGCTTTCTTTTTTAATCATGTCTCTAAAGAAGTACTCACAGCAGTTGGTGTCACATCGTTAAATATGATAAACGTGCGTAATATTAATTCCTGTTTGGGTTTCTATGACAAGTGACATACTGTTAGTCATATAATCAGACACACTTAGCTATCTGAAATAAAATATTACGAGTATAGATATGAATGACAAGTTGAGACTATCCATTCCATCCTACAAACTTTTTCCTAATTACGCTACTGAATTTTATAACTACTAACTTCTGTTTTAGAAAATAAATAAAGTCATTGACATATTATTGCTTTTATCGTTAAATTCTTTGATCTTATCAACAACTTTGTTGTGTATCGAGTTATTATTTGGTTAAATGAATGTGTTATTTATAACCATAATTATATATACTTTTTTTTTTAATGTTATGTTATAACTATTTGATTTAAGAAGATAATAGAAGTGTATTCGATTTAGAATTTCTCTTTCAAACAGATAGTTATGCTTGCAGATCTTACACTACATTAGATTTAGTTATTTTATCAAATTTTACTATGTTAATCACTTAGTTTTCAAAAATCATAATAACTTTCTATTAATATTTATGTAGTGACTTTATTCATTTCAAATATTTAAATTAATTTCTAAATCTCATACGTAATCGTTGCTGATTTATGTTTATCATCTCAAGAAATGATATCTTTGTTTTCGAGATGCGTTTTACCTTATTAGATACACTCGATTGACATGAGAGAAAATCTAAATCGATGCGTCTTTCAAAAAATTTTCAGTATTAGCATTTGAGAATACGAGATACAAGAAACTCATATATTCACAATTTGAAGATTTCATTTCTGCTAAGTTTAAATTTCAATGAGATGACGTTATTTTGTTTTTTCGGAAAATGTCTAATGAACATGAGTATAACAGAAGAAGAAAAAATTCTATGGATGTTTATTGTTTAAGATTTTTTTATTTTAATAGTCTAGTTAATCACATATGATTCATCGCGAAAAGCAATTTATTATTTGTTGAGATACACACGTCTTTTACTACGACTAAGGATATTGTTCTTTTTACTTGACAAGAAAATTTTTATTTTCTCTCGGTTTTTTCTTTATTAGCAGGTTATGCATAGGTTTTGTTTTTCATGTATAATATGTCAAGATTGGTCTTGTCAATCACTTCATTGGGTTGATTTTAATCTAAGCTTATACGTATATTAGTATTATTTTGAATGTTGTGTATTGTGACATAAACAATTGACCATTGATGACGTAGTAAAAGGTTTGAGACGATCAATACGATTGTTGATCATACAATGGCATGTTCTTTTACAATTATGCCGCTGATCTTGAACAATTTGATCGTGCAGGCATGTGTAATATAAAGAAGATGCTAGATAAAAAAGCGACTTTATGCGAGAGGTACCAATCGAAAAGATTAATCGATGGTGACTTTGAAAAGACGCAATATTAAATTACAATAATAGTGTTGTTTTGTCAAAAACTGAAAACAAATCTTGTTTATTCTGAGGTCAAATAAGTATAGAAGAAAAAAAATATTTTACATATAACTATTTTTAAAAAAATGTTATTTTTCTTAAGTGCATTATATTTCTTTGTATATTTAGATTTTTGATTATGATTCTTCTTCATAAATATTAATTTATAATGGTGTCAACAGGTGAGCTATATCATTTTAATATTTATTCGTAAATTTGAAGAAGAGAGACATTGTTTTTGTCTTTATTATTTTACTGCATTGATCTTGTAGATTATGAAGGTCATAGCGTATCGAAATTGTCTTTTTGACCGACTTTCTATGGTCGGACAATGTTTTTTTTCTATAAACCCATGTAAAATATTATATTAATTGTGCACACTTCAAAAAAGAAGATTGTGTGTGTAATATAGCATTAATGTCACCGTGAAGAATGTATATAAAAGGCAAGTGTTTTTTAGGCTTGTAAAGAGAAGAAGATAGTGTCGACAGATGCATAAAAAAGAAAAGTACTCAACCAATGATAAATCATTATGACAAAAGCGAACAGAAGCGTCAAAGAAAGAAAGGATAAGCAATAACGATGACGAACACTATACGTCTTGACAGCTTATTACTTTAAAAAAACAACAGACAGACGTGCCTCCGTTCAATGAATCACGCATGTGACGTGTGTTAGATAGTTAAAAAAGAATCCTCTACTATATGCTACTTTCAAAGGAGCTAGAATATTCTTTATTCGTTTGTCTTATCTTTTCTATTTTTTTCTTACTCACTCTTTTTTCGTTCTTTCACTGACTGTCTGCTTCAACAAATTCCCTCAATCAAAAAGACATACCAGTAAGCATCATACATTTAGTAGATGATCGAGAAATAGCATTTATAATACTCATAAAAATGTTTTTTATACTTAACATTATCATTTTTGCCATTTATGTTATTGTTTTGTTTAGTGCAACGCGCCACAATCAGTGGTGGAATTGGTGAAATAGAAACAATAATTAAACGTGAAACCGATGACGATTGTTTTGGCGGTAATGATGGCATCGGCGGAGGCTCAACGGTTATGGATCTAGGCATCAATTCGACAAATAATAATACTTTTGGAACTAATAATAATAATGAAATCTTAGATTGTGTTGTTTGTGGTGACCGAGCTACAGGTAAACAATAATTAATTGAATTTAATAATTATATCTATAGTTGAATAATTATTTAGGTAAACATTACGGAGCAATATCATGTGATGGTTGTAAAGGATTTTTTCGACGAAGTGTACGAAAAAATCCTGTATATGAATGTCGACATCAAAATAATTGTACAATCGACAAAGATAAACGTAACCAATGTCGTCATTGTCGATGGAAGTATGTTTATTTAATTTGAATTTTTTATTTAGGTCTATCTTTATTTTTATTTCTATAGAAAATGCATTAGAATGGGCATGAAAAAAGATGGTAAATATATGATTGTAATAATATACATAATCTATTTTTCATTTCGATTTTTATAGCTGTACAAAAAGAAAGAGATCGTCTTGGACGACAACGGAATAATAATTATAATTCTCGAACGGCAACATTAAAATCAATCGGACATCTAAGTGGTAATCTTGATGAGGATGAAGATGATCTTAGTATAATGGCACTTTTAAGAGCTGAACAAACGGCTAAAGAAGTAATGAGAAGAAAATAAAATATTTTTTTTTATTGTTTTTATTTTCTAGTATATTGGTCGACAAATTCAACTTGATCGACATCCGTCCAATACAGAACGTGTTCAAGCTACATTAGAAACAATATGTATATCAATGAATTATCAACTTCGTAGTTTAATTGAATGGGCCAAAGATTTAAAAAGTTTTGTTGAACTATCCGATACGGATAAAGTAAGATAAATAGAAGAAAAAAAACCACAGAAACACATGAATTTGATATATTTTATTTAAAAATTTAATTAATCTAGATTGCACTATTACGTGGTCATACAGGAGAAAATCTTGTTTTGGGTCTTGCTTGTCGTTCAATAAATTGTGATGATTATTTACTTTTGGGTAATCATTATGTTATACCACGAAATGCATCTGATCCAGGTTTAACTCGTGCAGCTAGTAGAATACTTGATGAAATTGTTAAACCACTAAAAGAAATTCAATTAGATGAAAAAGAATATGCTTGTTTAAAAGCTATTGTTTTTTTTGATAATGGTTCGTTTATATATTATATAAAAAAAAAAAACATTCATTTATTATCTTTGTCTTGTCTACCTAGATAATAAATCATTATCAGACCCAATGCGTGTTAAAGAATTACGTAAACGTGTACAAGTTAACCTCGAAAATTATATAAATCAACAAAAACCATTAATGCGTGGTCGTTTTGGAGAATTATTATTATTAATGCCTCCATTACAAAATATAGCTCGTGTTATGGTGGATTCAGTTGCACGTTATAATCAAGATACAAAACAAGTTGATGATCTTATTAATGAAATGCTTCTAAGTAAGTTTAATGATGATTTAATTTGATACTTCCGATAAGATAATTTGAAGAATAAGACATAAAACAAAACCTACAGAGTGAATATCACAATATTTGCAGTTCTATAAGTTCAGATAGGTATCGTGACGATTGTCAAGAGTCGGTGATATCCACTACGACTAATACAATACATATGATAAATACTAATACATCATCACCAAATGATTCAAGTAAGAATAATCCTATGTTCACTGTTATAAATAATGTATATGTACTAACACAAATAATATCTATATCAGTTTTATTGATATGCACAGCACAGCACAACTATAACTATAGTTTTTGTTTTGCATGCTTATATAATCCACTAATAAGAAAAATCGTTTTGTTACTGTTATCGTGTTAATAAAAACCATATGATCATAAACATTCTAGGAATACTTTACGTTCCATGTTTATTAGTCGAATATTAATTATATCTATTTATATCTTATACCTATGTGTATATTTTTAGTTTCGAAAGAGAACGATCTAGATTCAAATGGATCTTCTCTTGATACGGATCTAGAAGATAATACGTCACAGTCTCAAGATAGTCATCAATATCCAGATCCATCATCAGCTACACTTGTTCCAAATTCAGTTTTGGTTACATCACAATCAATCAATGATGATATTCATAATGTTTCGTTTACTGGACATGATGATTTTTTATCAAATGATCTATCCCATATTCACCTTCTTCACACGAATTCTATAACTGATCCCAATTTAAATCATCATAATGCAACATTATTTAATAGTACTGTTAATAATAATATTCAGGATCAACATCATGGACAAGTTTTACAATATTTTACCGATACATCAAATGATCGATTACAATCATTAAAACGTTCAAAAGCAATAAAAACGCCAACATCATTACCATCATCATCGTCATCATCATCATCATCATCAAATATTCCTCCTTATGACCCGAATGGTGATATTAATTTTCTATGTGATCTCATCACACCACCAGCAGTAAATCGACAATTAATACCATCGCAATTAAATCATACTAATAATTATTTCGATATCGATTGGAATGGACGAATATTATTACCAAATACAACAACATCGAGTATACTTGATCATGTTAAACAAGAACATGGACAACCGAAAATTATACGATGAGATTATATATAGTTATGTATATGTTCGTCATTTGTTCTTTTTTTGCAATGTACGAAAAAAGAAGAAGCGATCACCATCATTTCCTTACTTTCCGGTCATATCTTTTTTTTTCAACTAATATATTTATGTATGCATGTCTTTCCATTCTGCCATCATTATCAAAAAGAAAACAATAAGAAATTTTTTTATAGTTACATATTTGTTGTGTTTTTTGTTTTAGTTCTGTTTTTTTTTCTTTTTATTGTTAACACTATTATTATTATCGTCGTCGTCATCCCTATGCACATGTGTGCGTATTTTTTGGCAGATGTGTTAAAGTGCATGTTGTGTGTTGTATTTTTATTATTTTCTGTGTGTGTCTGCGTGTGTATGCATGTGAAAACGATATGATTTGATATCATTGGGCATTTGTGTATGTGTATGTATGAAAAAAAAAAGAGACAGTATTAATGAAAATCAAAATAATTTGTTAGAAAATTTTGATTATTTGAGATTAGTATAACTTAAAGATTGGGCAAATATAATTGAGTATATAGTCAATAAAAACATAAATTTAATTGATTTAACTAAGACAACAAGTAATTTGTGAAAAAAGAAATTATTCACAAATGACGTTAATATGGAGAAGAGTATTGTCTTTCAACAATTGTCAGCGATGTTAAAACAGTGGTAACTATTTTGGCATAGTGTTTTTCCCGATTATTAATTTGCTTTCTCCACTCATATATATTCTTACTGTGAATATATGGACTGTCTTTATAATAAGAATACTATAGAACGAGTTACCTAATAGTTTCGAGAGTTGAATACAGGATCTTTGTAGTATATAATAAACGTCAAAATTTATTCTCATAATTGTTCGATGTTGTTATAGTTATATGAACATAAAAGAGATGGTACATTCTATATTTTCAAATGTGCTCAAAGAAAACAAAACTTGTGTAACAGTAAGATTCTTTCTTCTAATCTTATAAATCTTAAATAACCAGTCAAATATAGAACTGTTTGAGATGCATCATTTGCGAGATAAAACAATTCAAATGAACATATATTGAAAGAAATACTCATAAAGCTGAGCATATGTGACTCTTTTCCAAACAGACGAAATATCAAATATTTTGTGCAATAGTGAAATCATAAGTGAAAATATTGTACACTGGTTGAAGAAACCCTGTACTGTTTCAATCATTTTGGTCTAGATTGTTCTTTGTAAATTTGATTGACTTGAAATCAACTATTATTATAAAATGACTCACAAAAATCGCATTCTAGGTTATAATCCGTTTTACTGGTGATGGTAAGATTATTATTTTTAAGTCTTACAGTGGATGAGGTATATAAAAGTATTTTTTCTCGTTTTTATTAATATAAAAAACACATATGACATGAATTTAACGGTAAGTTTCATTTTTAGTTTATTTCTATTCATAATTAATATTGAAACTTTCGAAGAAAAATCTAAACTTCATTCTTTTACATCATTTATGAACATTTTAAAACTTTTTGTTAAATAAAACTTTTAAAAAAGCAATAATCAATTGTATATAGAACAGTTTCATCAAAATCATCTATCTAATTTTATACATATTAATTTTGATTTAATTATCGTATATACATCTTCTTCATATAGATGTACACGTTGAATTCAAAGAAATATGGATGAACGAAACGATAGTTCTGTTTCTATCCTTCGACAAACGTCACACTCTCTTTGGACGATTCTTTTTTCCCTTGTAGTCATATATGTGCACACCTCAATTTTCTTTCTCTTTCAATTTCACCTTCCTGTCACTAGTGGTCGTCGTTTTTACGAGCGCATTTTTGTTGACCCTTTCCTTTTTTTTTTTCTATTCTTCCGTTCATTTATACAAACGCACATATAGTCGTTGATGGTCTCATAGCAGAACATGGCTTTTATCAAGGTCATAATAAGTATGTCTGATTTATTTGACATCTTGTTTTTTTTTTCTGTTTAATCAAAAATTCGTTTAGGATTATTATTATTATTACTGATAAGCAGTATTCTTATTTGTGATGGTCAATTTTTAACACCTGATCAATTAAGAGAACAAAATGACCTTGGCTATGGAGCTCGATCACATTATGAAATGACTAGTGGTCGACGAACAGATATGTTCAATCGTATTAATCCTGATTATTTACTTCGAGGTTTGATTTAATTTTTTTTGATTCTATGTAATAAAAATAAATACATATTTGAATGTTTACAGGTTTTTTTCCGTTCTGGTCAATCGTACTCATTTGTTTTGGACTTATTTTTTTGACATTGGCTGTTTTTGGGCTTATTGGTTATTTATTAGGATGTCGTCGACCAACACTTGAAGAACTCTATGCAAATGAATTTGAACAATTAACACCAGATGATGAATTTTTATTAGGTACTGGAGGTATTTCAAATATGAATGATACAAAAATATCTATAGAAAATTCATCAAATGGATTATTTAATAATAATCAAAGAGATTTTCGTTATGAATCATTATTACCTATTGAACAAACACGTGTTGGACAGAGTCATGAAGATATGGTGTAAATATGATTTTGTTAAATGTTCATTTCTTTTGTTCATAATTTATAAAAATCATTTTATTGTGACTATTAGAGGTCATTTAGTAACAAAAAAAGAAATTTGAATTCAAACAACGTTTGGAATTAGGTGATTAATGTTTAAAGAAATATATAAATTCGGAGAAGAAAACAAAGATATGAAAGAGTATAATTATTTCTTTTTCTGTACCATTTGAATAATAATGAATCTATTCTTTGTTGAATTGGAATGAAATATGACAAGAATATTAATAAAAAAAATATATTTGTTCGAACCATATGACGTTATTTATTTAATTGATAGTGTGAGAGAAGGAATCGGCAGAACTAAAAGAAAATAATCGGTGGCCTATAAAAAGATGAGGCTCTATGAAGCTGTAGAATTTTTTTCTTTATTCAATTTCTACTGTCGCAGAAAAATCGAAAAGATTAATTATCACTCACTATTGAACTGCAACTGTCAGAAAATAAAAAAAGATATTCAAAATATGTTTAAATATTTATCTCGCAGAATTTCGAATTATGTTGTATATCGCAATGTTTCGCAATTTTTCAAGCAAAAAGGAAAAAACAATGCACAAGACTCTTTCTGGCAGTTCTACATCATTGCTGACAATCTAAAGAGTTTCGTTGTTCAGAATAAAATTCTACCTTTGATGATATAGTGATAAATCGTTCACTATCTATAGATGCTGGATACTTCAAATTTAGCATTGAATTTGATGAGTAAAAGTTTTCACAAATCGTTAGATGTCTGCATTAAATAGTAGGACATTGCAATTGGATAGTGAAGCAACTGTCAATCTTTCCAATCTTTTGTCAACAAGAGAAATTTATTTAAAAATGAAGTTCACATTTTTGTAGAATGAAAAATTCTCGACTGAATAAGCTTAGAATGATTCATTTGAATGGTATTTCTGTTCTTCAAAAACAAAAAATCAAACTGTTCTACTACTCAGTAACGTAAAATTTTGAATGTTATAATTTTTCATTCGATAGATTTAAATCAAATGTTGACTGTCAGAGAATTTAGCCGATTCAGATGATTCTATTTCGCTTTAAATGTCTACATAATCCTTTTGTCTTTTGTTTTTGACTACAAATAGAGTTTGGTAAGCTCTGATGACAAGCACCAATTGCAGATCGATATGCCTTAATGCAAAGAAGTTACGTTGGAAACATTGGTTTTCTACGATTTAAATGTGTTAACTTTCATTTTCTTATTAATAAATAAACATTCACGTATCTGTATTGTCTCACCGATAGAGTACTTCAATCTAGAGTCATCTTGAACGGTCTCAGCATTAATATATTTTTTTTTATTCGTAACTGCAACCGGAAAATCTTCAAGGCAAATGGTTAAAATAAGACAAAGATATGTGTCACATTTCAACGATTTCCACCAACTCTCATGTGAAGACTAGTTGAAGAATACTTCATGAATCAAACAAATTAAAACTATTTGACATGGAATTTCAATCGATGATAGAGGTAGCACTGATCTATCGAATGAGGAGAAGTCTAACTTCATGAGATTTGTTTTCTGTGTTGAGATATCCTTTTCTGAAGAAAACATCATTATTGATAGGCAAAATATCAGACAAAAGAAATAAAATTTAGGTACTTTTTAAGATTATTGTATCTTAAGTATTGATTTGAATGGTGATTTTATTAACTTGTTGACAATCATTAAATGAAAGAAAAAACAAATTTTGAATAGAATAATGTAATAGTTCTTTGGTTATACCTGACTTCCATAGTTTTCTCAAATATGAATGTCCTGAACGGGTGAAACTCTCACCTCACTTTTAAACACTCTTGTATTTTTCCAGAGTTTTATCGTGCTTTTTGTTCATCAGTTCAGGCAACCTCGAGACGCCCTGTTTCCGATGAAAATATTTAATATCGAGCAAAGCATGACAAGCCAAACAAAAAGCTTTTATCATATATATAAAGAACTCATCTACTAGTGGAATCTTTCGCTGATATCTTAGTCTTCTAACAGATGTCTATCATTGGTTCATATGAAATGAATCATCTACGTATTAACAAAAACAACAAGTTAACAAAATAATTAGCTCAAGTTGAACTTGAAGCAGTAACTTCAGTTATTAATAAATATTATCCTAGTTAGAAAAGTTTATGTTATGCTCATTATTTGAATGGACACAATCGACAACAACAAGCAATTCGAGCACACCATTGTCAACTTAATTTTAGTATAAAAATGTTTATTAACATTTCGTCAACAACTTGAATCCAATGATGAATTTGGTATGATATTTTTCAGTCATACAACAATAGTTTTACAACTAATAGGAAAAGTATTAATAAATGAAGAAGAATTAGATAATATTATTCTTAAATGGTGTGATACATGCATACATAAAGTGATTTTACTGCACGTAATGCACTTTTTATGCAACGTTTTTTGAAATTACAACAATAAAAGATAAATCTTTATGAAATACGGCACAAGGAGATGATATTCTTTTCGATGTAAAACTTCTTCCAACAGCAACAACAATGACGAGATTTACTATAGTCGTAATTGTATCTATGACAATGGAAAAAACTGATTTCATTACTTGAAACATTATTTCATGAACATTTGCAGTCATTAACAAAACAATATGTGATTAATAGTGATTTAGAAACTAAAGAAGTTATCCAAAAAATTATCGAATGTGATTATTGGAAACTTAATGACAATATTGGATGGTGATGGTATTTCTTGTGTTTGTTTAACAAATAACTGTTTAGTGATTTTATTATCATGTGCTCATAAATGTTCTATGTACTGATTGTGTCAATACACAATAAGATGAGTTAACTAAAAATATACACTTTATCAAAAGACCATTTCATGTGTAAGAACATCCATAATCAATCAGTATTGAATTGTTTAAATAGAAAACAAAAAAACAATGGACAATATTTTTTTTCTTAAATTTTTAAAATAAAAAAAATATATTTAAGATTTTCATTTCAGAAATGAATTCTATTATTATTATTTTTTTTAATTAGGGTCAGATAGATTTTTGTATTGAATATGACAAACAATAATCATCTTGATAAAAATAAACATAAAGAAGAGAATGATCAAGAAGAATCATTGAATATTGTTAATGTTCATGATCCATTCTTTTTATGGGGTTTACTTCAACATTCTGATCAATCATTAATTCAAGCAAATAAAACATTATCAGATGCTGATCGAAGTTGTTTATATTGGTCATGCCATTATCATAAACGTTCAAAAGTTTGTGAATATCTGTTAGAAAATTGTGAATTAATTCGTACAGCTCGTGATGCTATTGAACAATTATCTACTATGACACAAGAAGGTGACAAGAACACACCTGATTTAAAAGAAATATCTGTACCATTTATATTACCAACATCACCAGATTTTATTGTTAAAGAATTACGTGATGGTTCGTTTATATCATCAAAAGGAAAACCATTACAATTTAAGGTTGTTGATGAAAAAGGAAATACAAAAATGTAAGAAATTGTTTTATTTCTAAAAAGAAGAAGAAATAGATTTATAAATATTGAATTTTTAGATGTATGTATAAACATGGTGATGAATTATTGCAAGATGCTTTATGTATTGCTGTTATGAAAGAAATGAATAAGATATTTGAAGAAGAAAATATCGATGCAGAAGTTGTTTTTTATGAAGTAAAATTAAATTTAGTAAAGAAATTTTATGTCGTTTTACTTTTTCATTCATTTATTTAGGTTGTTCCCGTTGATAAAGAAGAAGGTCTTATTGAATTTGTTGAAAATGCACATCCACTTCTAGAATTTAAAGCTGATGATGAAAATGAAAAATCAAAATCAAGCGATGCATTAAAAAAATTTATTGAAACTAAACCAGAAGGAAAACAAAATTTATTTCGATCATTTCTTGGTTTTGTCGTGTCTGGTATTGTTCTACAATTAGCTGATCGACATGGTAAACATTTTTTTTTCCATTTTATTTTTGTCATATGGAAAAAATAACATATCTTAATATTAGAACTAACCATAGAACATTTTCGATTGAACAATCGCTTTTGAGTTTGAGCTTTATGTATACCATAGGCCTCAATTAGATATAGAAAAATGTTTTTAAACAGGTCACACCAAATTGATTGGTGTTTGTGATTTTTTCGAATGAGTTTCATTGTATTACTCAGTATTAATGTATCATTCTATTTTCAGTTGTCCATTTTATTTGTCTCTATCAAGATAAGATAATAACAATACTTTGTATGCAATAGCAAATTAGAACAAAAAGATAAACTTCATAAATATTTTTCATAGAGGAAAGGCTTGAACAAAATATGATTGGGTATAAAACGAAGATGTAATGGAAAATATAGAAAATAAGCGATATTTACAAGAATAGGTAAGGACATTGGCATTTGACAATCAATTTTTTCAACAGCAAGATCACAAAATTTACTATCTGATTGCTTTGAATATACACATTGATGAAGAGACTGATTTATTCTGCAATCCCTTGGAAAATACAATTAGAGGTACAAAGCTCTCTCCTATATTCAGATCGATTACAATTTCATTTTAAAGGATTAGTAGTTGTTTGTTTTAGTAGTAAGGACTATTAGAAATAAAGTGTTAGTCAGATATAATCATCAATTGTATTTTGAGTTTTATGTTTTAGAAGAATATTCTTCATGAAAGACTTTCACAGAATCGTAAAGAAAAATTTCATAACGATAAAATAATCGATCTTTGAAACTCGCTACTATCGATAACTAACGTTTACTTATATTCTCAAATCTCATTTGAAATTCATTTCAGTGAGATCTATAGAGAAGTTATGATGTATAGCTGTCAAGTTTTGTTTCCTGAAAAGGTACTGTTTTGAAACTTAGTATTAAAAAAAACGTTTTTCTTTTCATAGATGATAATATCATGATAACTGATGATGGTAAAATTTTACATATTGATTTCGGTTGTGCATTCGGTCAAAAAACTAAACTCGAACAGTTACTTAGTTTTTTTATGGATATACCAAATTCTCCATTTAGTGAAGATGTTTTCATTGGTAAGAATCGATAGTATGTGATAAAAATTGATAAACTATTGTTTCATGTTTAGCTATCATTGGTCGTGAAGATAATGATGAAGTAATAACAAAATTATGGGAATCAATTAAAGATCGAACATGGTTATGTTTTAATGCTTTACGTAAACATAAAAATCGGTTCAAACCAGTAGGTGAAAAACACTATGAACATTTTCATGAAAGATTAATGATTGCACGCAATGATTCTGAAGCTCAACAAGCATTAGATGTTGAATTAGAAAAATGTTATAATAATCGATTTAATGCTGCAAGAGCATTTTATTACAAGATTCAACAAAATATTGTTAGTTAGAATGAAAATGGTTGTTGTTCTAGTTTTTGTTTTTGTTCCCTATTATTGTATTTTAAACTTGCTCATGCATTTATTCAAGCAATATGAATAATGTTCATATTTTTTTTTATTATTAATTTGTGATATTTTCTTACTAATTTCAATCTGTATTTTGCATAGTAACAAGTGTGTAAAATATAAAAATGAGATAAAGAAATATTTTAATAAGAAAATAAATGTTTTGTAAAAGAGTCTTATAATTTATCATAATGAGTCACTTCAACCATCAGGCAGAGGAAAGGACAGGTTAAATGCAAGTAAGAAACAATAGATAATAGATTAAACGAAGGCTTAAATCTAGTCACATGTAGGATGCGAGGAAGATGATCTCGGTTCCGATTCTGACGAGACCGGAACCGAAAACAGCTAGCCTCTCTAATATGTCTATTGCTATAACGAATGCATTCTTACAAGTAAAATTTTATTTTCTATGATAATAATTTGAACATCGATTTCGTTTACAGATGTACATGGGTATTTCATGAAGAATAGAATTTAAGAGAACTGATCAATATCGTCTTAACTGTATACTGAGGTATTTCACAAATGTTCTTGCAAATATATCGATAATTTTTTTCAGCATAGAGTTTAAATCATGTTTTATGTTTCTCTCCTCGTGAACAAATCCATAAATTATTATTCTATAGTATTTGATATAGAAATTCAATTTCTGAGTGATATCGCAAGTTTTCTCTCAGGATTTATATAAAAAAATTTTAAATCCTTGTCAAATAACAAGAAAAGGATAGCGTTCGATCCTAAATAAGAGAGAAATCAACAAAACACTGAATAATGCATATTTCTTCAATATTTTTAAATTAAAACGTTCTTCAATTCAGTATCTAGGTCATTCATCAATGTGATGTTTTCCAAATTAAAATATACGCTTCAAACTCCAGTAGGTCAATGAGAAACGTCTTACATTATGTGTTTTTAAAAGTATTCTTTTAATATTTTTCTGGTATTATAGGTATGCACCTCTTTTACTAGGTACGTTAGACATAAACATAAAGACGAAAGACGTCGATCCATAAGTTCACCACAAAATTGAATTCTCCTCTTGGATGACATAGGCAGCTCATTAGGCGGATCCTTTGCTTTATCGAAGTGTCTCTTTTCCAATAGAAAAATTTGTTTAAAGAAGATTCAGATGGTCATACACACTTTTTTACTAAATATAAGTCTAAAACTTCTTACAAGCATATTATAGTTAACACTTAAATTGTAATATAGTAACACGGATAAGCGCTATTGTCATTAAAAGTTCCTTCTAAGTACGTTAATCGATCAAGAAATTGGTTTGTACGATGGATGCAGTAGACCTACATTGGCAATCGTCTCTTTAGCCCAGTCTAGGATTAGAGTGATGCTAACATCGAGTTTGATCCATCCAACCTAGTAAAAATAACACAAGTTAAACGTCTAATATCATACAGAAAGAAATTAGAAGATCTACCTTCGAATTTATCACGACGTTACCAGCTCTGTCAGTTGGATTAGTCACTATTCTGTTTGATTTTCTTTGTGTCTAAATAGGAAAACATCGCCTTGGTTTTTTTGTGGCGTAAATTTGACTAGACATTCAGATGTTAAAATGACATCTAATATATTTTCACTGAAGACTTTCTTTGGTTGCTGAATATGTAACACCTGCACCAATGCCATCCACGATACCTTTTCCGTGAGCAGTCGTACTGAATAAACATAAAGTTTGAAGTCAAAAACTCAATCTAATGATACGTAAGATTCAAAATATTTATATTATTTTTGAAGTGTTCTAGATCTCCGTCAGAAATATAATCGAGTCGTTTGACTGCTAGATAAGCCCTTGACACCTAATTAATGATCATGATCATGCTATGATGTTTCGCTTTTCTAACTTTAAGATGAGTAATGAAAATTGTGACTTGTTGACTTGACCAAGTCGATATAGACAATAAGAGAATCATTTTCATTTACTTCTTTCTTGATTTTTCTAACGCAAACAATTCGTTGAAGTAGATCAACAATCGATTGGTTAATCATTTGGAGTAACATCTTAAGCTCATTCGGCCAAACGTCGTTATTAGTGTGGAATTTCTCTTTGCTCACACCCATACTTTTTTTTTACATTCGAGTTTTCTTAATAGTAATCCAATGAATATTTCATGATTTACCATTTATATGTGATTATGTGTTCAACATTTTCATTCAATGAAGAATCACATTGAATTTAACATCTATTTATTTAGTTCATACTAAGTATCTTTTGTTTTTCGTTCTTTCATATGTTCCATACCTTTCTTTCAATGATTGTTTCGTCTAGTCATTTAAAACAATCAAAAAATGAATATAAAAATCAAAAAAATTCTTCGCCGAGAAAAACAAGTGATTTATTTGAGAAGCAATTATTGCAGATTTCATCGTATTCGTTTATTAATGATATAAAACTACTTATTTCAGATTATTTCAAACTATTGGTTAGAAAGAAATGGGAGCAAATAGGTGCCCGTGCCTATTCATTGGTATAATCGTGATTCTTATTGTTGTCTGTCTTTGAGGGACATGTCCACCATAGTACTTCAGGGAACTTATGCGTATAGTAAACAAACTGACATCACTTGAAGCTGCTAATTCACTATCTGAGGATGTGGATGTGTAGATGTGTGTTTCAAATAAAACTCAAATCCATACTGGCAGTAATTTCATGATTTACCGGTAGAATCAAGATACAAACCTACTAATACGCAGTCTTATGAATCAAAGAATAAATGTAAACGGTCATAGATAGCAAATGGATTTAGTGACTCTTATTTTTTATCAACAAAACTCACTGAATTCATTTGCTACCAATGACAATTTACATTCTGTTAGCTTTCTCTTTCATCCAAATCTCCTACCCACTAAATGTTAATAGGTCGGAAGGAATCAATAGAAAACTATGATCTGTAATAGCTGAGTTAATAGAGTTAGTAGTCCTACCTGGTCTTGTAGGTTGATGTAATGGTGAGGGTAATATAGGTTCAGATGAGGAATAAGTATTTTATTCAAAGAAAACGTGTTACCCAGATAATACAAAAGACACCACTGACTGCTGGGGCAGACTTGTTCATAAAATGAACGAGAGAGAGAGACAAAGAGAAAAAAGAAAAAAAAGGAAAAATAATAATAATAAGAATATGAACATATATGTATATATCCAAGAAATATCGAACCTCACATAGGTTACATAAAGGAGAACGAAAAGAAAGGAGAAAGGTTAGCGGCAACTATGTAATATCTGTTGACGCTAACACATTCATCCAGAGGTTTGTAACACTAAGAATCGTAAAGTCTTCTTTGCTTCATCATTTTATTGACTGTGTAAGGCTTAGATTGATCTAAATAAAAGAAAAATATAATAATTTGTGTAACAAATAATTACTATTTATTTGTGATGGTAAGATTGATCTAAAATAAAGAAAAAGATAATAATTTATTTAGATACATAATCATATACTCTGGTACTTTCTTGAGTGAACGTAGGTGAAGTTAGCATCATATTCGAGTAAATCCTTCCAATATTCGCTCAGGAGAGCGTTCCAAGTGTACCAATCAGCGTTCCAAGTAGAACTCAACGAGCTCTATCTAATGGTAACTTTGGATTTTCCATCGCCCAAACCAATCGTGAGAAAAATCCAAAATACTGTACTTTTTCAAAAGGAAAACCCAAACCTACTTACTAAAACCCGCCCATATTCGTCCAGGAGAGCGTTCCAACCGTTCCAGCAGCGTTCCAAGT